TTCCATTCCATTCCATTCCATTCCATTCCATTCCATTCCATTCCATTAGTCTATTCTGTTCTGTTCTGTTCTGTTCAGGAACATATCCAACACACTTCCTATTTTCACCAGAACAACAGCCCTGTGAGGTGGATTGGGCTGAAAGAGAGTAACTGGCTCAAAGTCATCCAGTTGGCTTTCATGCCTAAGGCGGGACTAGAACTCACACTCTCCTGCTTTCTAGCCTCATGCCCCCTAGGCAAACTAGCTCTCTCATAGTATGTCAATAAAGTTTTGGGGTTTGTTGGTCTGGATGTTGTCACTGAACAAACCTGGTTAATGTTTCTATTATTCCAAGGGCTCAGTCCACAGTTGCACCCTCTTTAATCCACACAAAGTGTCAAATACTGTAAGGTCTGACTAACAAACCAAGGGAAAATGTATTAGCCCTCTGAAAATTGGCTGGTTCCTTTTGCCTTTCATCAATTTAAATCAAATTGCCTTTTTAAAAAAAAATACTAAATAGCTCTCCAACTTTAATGTCAGTAATTTTCTGTAAAGAAGTAGGCCATTAATGGATTAATTTTGTATCACTGGGAAAGCAATAATGGACTTTTCCCCCAACCCTTTTGATGTGCAGTTTATTTAATTTTCCGGAGTCAGCAGCAGTAAATTAAATGACATGATTAATGCTCAAATTAACCCATGGGAGCAGCTGGTGTATTAACGAAGGTTTTAGTAATGAAGGTGGCATTCAGAGCAAAGGGAGAAAAAAACACGGCTCTTGCTTTTAATGATACTTTTGAAAACGTGGAAAACGATTCTATTTATAGTTCCCATAAAACTACTTCATTCATTAAAATAATTCCCTTTCACTTCATTACTTTATATCAAGGATGTCCAATCTTGCCAACTTTGTGGACTTCAAGTCCCAGAATCCCTCAGCCAACGTGGACTTCAAGTCCCAGAATTCCTCAGCCAACGTGGACCTCAAGTCCCAGAATTCCCCAGCCAGTGTGGACTTCAAGTCCCAGAATTCCCCAGCCGGTATAGACTTCAAATCCCAGAATCCCTCAGCCAACATGGACTTCAAGACCCAGAATTCCCCAGCCGGTGTGGACTTCAAGTCCCAGAATTCCTTAGCCAGACATGCTGACTGGGCAATTCTGGGAGTTGAAGTCCACAACTCTTAAAAGTTGCTGAGGTTGGATACTTCAGCTTTAAATAAATAGTACTTTTCACATGGACAAGAAAGGCAAGTGATGTTTCTCACATTCAATTGATTTCTCTTTCTGGGCAGCTTTTGGAGAACATGACGGAGGTTGTTCGAAAAGGCATCCAAGACGCACAGGTTCAGCTGCAAAAAGCCAACGAGGAACGCCTGCTGGAAGAGGTGAGCGGATTGTGGGATTGTTCTAGTTGACCTACCTCTTCTCGATATTTCGCTTTGGGCGCTTCATTTTTATTCCCCCGTTTCTTTCTTTCCAGGGTTTGCTTCGACAAATTCCTGTGGTGGGTTCTGTCGTGAACTGGTTTTCTCCATTCCGTGCCTCGCCAAAGGGACAAACCTTTAACTTAACGGCAGGTGAGATAAACATTTGACTGGGAGAGTCTTGAACCGGGACGAATTATTCTGAGAGAATAGGAAACACTGGAGAATTTAGAATTTATAGAATGGCAGAGTTGGAAGGGACCTCGGAGGTCTTCTAGTCCAACCCCCTGCCTAGGCAGGAAACCCTACACCACTTCAGACAAATGGATATCCAACATCTTTTTAAAAGCTTCCAGGGTTGGAGCATCCACAACTTCTGGAGGGCAAGTTGTTCCACTATATTAATTGTTCTCACTGTAAAGAATTTTCTCCTTAGTTCTAGGTTGCTCCTCTCCTTGATTAGTTTCCATCCATGGCTTCTTGTCCTGCCTTCAGGTGCTTTGGAGAATAGCTTGACTCCCTCTTCTTTGGGGAAGCCCCTGAGATATTGGAACACTGCTATCCCGTCACTAGACATACCCAGTCCCTGCAACTGTGCTACAACCGAGACTTAGCTTGAAGGACATTCCTAGCCAACATCAAAGATCTTCCCCTTTCATTTTCCCACCATTGCTTGGACGTAAGGGTGGACCATTGTAAGAAGCAGGATATCTGGAGTTTGGTTAGATCAGGGTGCTCCAGACTTGGCAACTTCAAGACTGGTAGACTTCAACTTCCAGAGATGAGCAGGGATGGGCTCCAAGAGAGGAAATGTGTAGCTGTAATTCAGCATTGTCCATGAGGAAAATGGTCTTCAGATGCGCCATTTTTCTACATCGTGCAGGTTTCTCCATCAGTTTCCTGCAGGAGATTTTAGAAGAAAACACAAAACTAATATTTCCCAAGGTTTGAAAGTATCTGTGGAAATTCTTAGTCATCCAGCTCATGGTTGTCTCAAAGGTGCTTTTTCAAGAGGCCACTGGGCTTTGGATCAAGCCCAGGTGCCTTTTGAAAAAAGCACCTTTGGGCCGAGCTTTGAAAGCTCCCAAAGGCTAAAAAGAGACTATAGTTCACCTCTGACTCCATTCTAAATCTCTCCCGTTTTTCTTTCGATAGCACCAACAGATTGGTCTTGCCTGGAATTTTTGATTGGTGACCAGAATTATGTGTCAACTTGTAAAACGTTCCTATGCCTGTTTCCAAGTTGCCATGAGAAAGAGGGAGGAAAGACCTGAAGGAGCACAGGGCAAATAAAATCAGATGCACATTCCAAGCATATCTCACAAAGATTGTAACTTAGGCAACCAGGTATTCTGCCTGCAAAAATCCTTTATTGGAGAAAGGGAGCGATGACACCCAGTGCATCAACGTGTTTCGTTGGAGAAGTTGAAGTATGATACACCCAGTGGATGAAGACAGGGTCATAGGTGATTGTAAATTAGGTGTCTCAGAGTCGGTTTGCTACAGGTCATGCCGGCATGTTGCGCCTAATAAATCTTTTGAAGCTTGGCTCGAGGCTTATGATTTAATTAGGGCGATCGGCGGAATCCTGACAGCACGATCTTAAAACTGGAAAGTAGAGATGATTTCTGAACTTTCACAGTTAATTCCAAACAATCCCTTCAAAGATGTTCAACTCCAAGACAAGTCAACCTTAGCACGGTCAGGGAAACATGGCACATGTTGTGAGTCCAAGGTTCTTAGGAGATCAGTATCTCTTCCTTCCTTGTGTGCATCCTATGATCAATGCATTGATCCAAATCCATTTCTTTGGCAGGTTCTTTGGAATCCACAGAGACAACATACATATCCAAAGCCCAGGGCACAGGGATTACCCCACCTCCAACTCCCACATCAAGCCGTGCTAAACAGAAGTTTCCTGGTAAGTTGACTTCATCTTCATCTTCAGTTTTATTTTATCTTTTTTTTTAAAAAAGCATTGAGAAGACTCCTTTCTATATTCTGGCTTATAAAGCCAGAATATCCTATTATGTTAGAACGGGGAGTATCCAACTTTGTCGCTTTGAACGGAACTGCTTTGAATGGAACATGCCATTGTCACTAAACAGAACTGCTGTAAATCAAGGACTGACTTCTTATGTGGACAAGCATTGCAGAAAAACAAACTCCAAATAGCAAAACTCCAAGACAGGCATTTCCTTGAAGTCCCATTTTATTGGAGTTGTCATACTGGCACACCTGGGAAAACCCGATTCTGAAAAGTTCCGGGTTTTCCTCCAATAAGTAAAAAATTACAAATCCACCCCCTGCACCAATCATTCCATCACATGCCCCAATCACCATCCATTCCAATTTGAGTGTCAGACCTATGACAGTCACTCCCATTTAAATCATGAGTCTTGAGCCAAACTTCCAAAACTTAAAAAGGATTTATTGGGAGTTAACATATCCGGCACTGCCTGGGTGTAGCTGACTCTGAGACATATCATTCCTTGTCACCCTTGGCCCTGGTTTTCCCCCCAACCCCCTGGGTGTATCATAATTCATATTCTCCAATGGGACACATCCATAGCCCAGAGTTATCAATCAGGATCTCCAGTTAGAATTTTGCAAGGCAGAAACTTTGGTCACCGAGAAACTATCTTTGAAAACATTTATAGAAATCCACCCTCCCTTTCTGTTGGCAACTCTAAAAAGACCGTAGAAACATTTTATGGATTGACATTGAGACATCCCTTCAACCACTCCTCATCCAGGTGCAGAATTAACATGACATTGTCTCTAAAGAAAAATGCTATTATATCTAACTACGTTCGCTCCATGAAATTCTCCCCTCACACTTTCCCAAACATAAGAATATAGCAGCGTGGAAGCTTCTGGTGCTAATAATGGCTTCCAAAGCTGACACCGAACAGAGGCCAATCTTTCGCGTTCCCATGTTTCATTCCAGGACAAAAGCTGTTTAAACGGGCCGGGAGGAACTCGGATGGGGTCAGCGAGACCAGCTCGGTGAGCCAGGCGACTGACTTGGACCGAGGAGAATTCGCAGCTTCTCCCCTCCAGCCAGAGAACGGCGAGCCATCGAGCGAAAGCACGCCGCCTCTCCCTGAGGAAACCACGGGCGTCTCCCCCGGCACAAAACCTCAGGCCCCGGGAAACGACCATCCGCTATCGGAGGAGCGAGAGAGCCTTAGATAAAAAAGAAACCAGGGCTCGGTGCAAATAAGACTTTTGCGCAGGGGTTTAAAAAAAAGAAAGAAAGACAAAAAAAGAAAAGTGCACTTCGCTCCAGAAGAGAAACGGAACGACACGTTTAAAATGTGAACCGTGCCGGAGGTAGGCAGTACGAATTGCTATTCATGTGTGATTGGCTGAAGATTTTGCACAAAAATTAGCGGAAGGCTGCTCTCTCTCTCTCTTTTACTTGTCTGCTTGGTTCTGATTCATCTCGTTTATCCTGCACACCCGTTTAGCGCCAAGGTTGGATCTGGGGTGGCTTAGGAGCAATTATTTCCCTTCTTAGCAGGGAACATGCAAGAATTAGGAGTGTCCCGTCCCCCAACCCCCCAAAAAATGCCTGATTTTTTTTAAAAAAATTAAATTAACAAGTTGCTTGGCACAGACTTCCCTTGGTTTTCTAAATTGGATTGTACTCTCTGCTAGGATTAAACTAATCTAGTTCCTGTTTGCTGAGCCCACCAGCTGCTAGCTATTTTTATTTATCAAAGTGTTTAAACTATTTTTCAACGTCTGGCTGCCTTTACGGTTTAACGTGGCACTCTTTTTTGTGGGGGGGGGGGGGAATTAAGTTGCTTTCAGATCCCCAAATCTTTGCCCCTTGACAGACTTACCGTCCACTCCTTTTCAGCACCGTTGGTGGACGAAAAAAGGGAGAACAGGATTTTGCATTTCACAGGGTTGTAAGAGTTGGCTCAGGCAGCTTTAGACGTTCCTTTGCTGGAGCCAAACTTACTGGTGGTTTTAAAAAGTGGGAGGGGGTGGAATCCCACAGAACAAAACCCAGTTTGAAAGGTTTGCTTTGAAAGGACATCCATCCTTATTAGCCAAGGCTGCCTTTTGGGGCAGATAGCAATGCATCGAGGCTGGCATACGCCATCGGTGGCATATCGGGTGTTTCGTCCCCTTGCTGTTCTTCGCTTTTCTCATCGGTTGGTTGCATTTGTTAAATATTGTAAATATTCAGAGAAATTAGCTTATTGTGCAGTGCTACACTATGGGAAAGAAACACAGACACTGAGCTGATTTGGGTTTTAAAAGTCAAGAGTAAATATTCAAGCGTTAATTCTTCGTCTAGGTGATTAATTATGCCTTTTTTTCCCCCCTGAGACATTTAGCTCTTTCTGTTAAACAGAGCAACTTGGTTTCTCTAAGAGACTTTGCTGCACTTGGTATTTCTTCCCCTATTCACTCCATATTCTGATTTTGTTTCACACACACACACAAAAGCACACGCGCACACACACACACACTCTTCTTTGAGCAACGTTTCTCTACAGTACCATTTGCCCCCAATCTGCTGCTACCTGGGCACATCGGAAAGGTTTCCACTCAGAAACCAAGAATCTGGGGGAATGAAATTGAACATCCTAAGACAGCAACAGTTGGGGAATGCTGTGGCATTTAATAAGAGTTCAATTTAGAAGTAATTAATCCATAAAGCTAGCGTAAGTGAAGGAACTTTATTGTCCGCAATTGAAGACATCGATTTTATTCCAACACAGATAATAACAATTAAGGAATGGTGTTCTCAAAATCATTTTTTTGGGTGGTGTTGGTGGTAGTGGTAATATAATCCAATGTTGTAAGGCATCCTAGCAGAAAAAAATGCCATTCCCTCAACAACAACAAAAGGGAGAGTCTAAAAGAGACTCACGCGGTCGTAATTGTAGAAATTACTAATTTGGAAACGGGAGATTTTTCTGCTTTGAAAGCCAAGGCACGATTCACATCCTTTATGGAGGTCTCACTAAACTAGATCTTACAGCGAATGCTAGAATTTTCTCCTCTCCTAAAGAGGATCTTCTATCCTTTGCATTCAAGTGGGCATTAAGAGTTCGAGTTTTGCTTAATATTATTTATGGAGGTTGAGAGGAAATGATCATCAGATCTAGTTTATCTAGAGTAACCAGTTTCTTGAAACTCAGCTAGAACTTGATTGACGCTCTTCCATGGGTACCGCAGCAATGGGCTTTAATGACCAAAATGTTTGTTAAAGGTTAACAACAGATCGTTCTTTCTTGATTGAGGATTATCACTGGTTAAATGTACAGTTAACTTCCAACTATTAAGGGTTGATTTTTCTAAAGTGCAAATTTAATTCCTGTCTTCCTTTTGACTGTTTATTTAGTGCAATGATTTATATTAACTTGGGTTCATGAGGGGTGGGGAAAGGTTAAAGTTATAATTGTTAATATAAATTTTAATGTTTTTATATCAAGCTGGCAGTTTTGCTGGAATACAGTCCTAATTTAGATACTTCCTAAATGCTTCAATAAAGGTTCTTCAACTTGTTGTATCTGAGTTTGTGATGGTTAAAAGAACCAACTAGTATAATCATAGAGAAGTACAGAACATACACATTAGAAGGCTTTAATTATTTAATCCAGAAGGTTACTATTTCTGGCAATGGTTAGATTCACGTATCATATAAACTATGTTTGGCTTTAAGTATCTTAAAATTGAACAAGTTTAAAGACAGGCCTGCAAATGAAATCAAGGTCTAGAAATTTGGACAGATTCGGTGTTAAGCCGTGACTGCTTTTAATCGTCATATTATTTTGGCTACATTCAGTGGTTTGATGGATCTGGTTCAACGAAAATCCCACCTCCTCCGGTTGCTGAAAGACACAGCGATGGTGAGATTCAGACCAGATTCTACCAATTTCTTTGGGACGGAACAGGAAGCTGAAGTGGAGAAAAGTAACAGCACAAACACACACACACACACACACACAAAAAGCCGAAACAAAATACCAAATCTTGCCCATACAAACGTCTGCTGTGAAAATTGCATCTGGATTTCTTGCAGGAATTGTGACTAGTTACGGAGATTCGTTGTAGAAAACCACATCTTTAAAAAGGAATGGAGGAGAATCGCCCCCTGTTGAGCTGCACAAGAGTCCAAAGTCCCCATCAGAGGATAGGTATGTAGGCGAGTCCCCATCCAACGTATTTGCTTGGATAGATTTGGTCCTCAGTCCAGAATGCCATGGACAACATTCTTTAGCTGTTGCTTGGAGACTCAACACAAACCTCTATTATTAGCTTGGAGAAGTTTCTTCTCATGGGGCCCAAGCAAGGCCTAGCTTCACTTGAAAGCTCCCAGAAGATAGTTCCAGAGAAGAGCAACATCATCTAGGTCGGAAGGACCTCACCGAAAGATCTGGTGTCAAGGTGATGTTCTACCCCAGAGTTCTCCAAACTTGGCAACTTTAAGACTTGTGGGCTTCAACTCCCAGAATTCCCCAGCCAGCATAGCTGGGAGTTGAAGTCCACAAGTCTTATAAAGTTGCCAAGTTTGGAGACCCACCCGTTGTTCTAACCCTACCAGAAGGGTCCTCATGTTGGATCAGGTCATTCCAACCTCACTGGGAACAGCTCTGACCTTGAAATTTCTACGCCATGCTCCAAAACAAGGACCGGAAGGCTTCATTCCAACATGAGACTGTGCCCAGGAAGGTCCTGGGCATCTCCAGATGGTCTGTTTTTTTTTTTATATCAAGAACAATAGCTCCGATGAAGCAAGCAGAATGGCGACTTTGCGTAAGACGCTGGATCTTGAAGAAACGACTGAAGCCAGAAAACTTGACGGAGCAGGGATGGGATTAGGTTTCCACCTCCTCCTTTGCAAACAACACTTGAGACCCCTTGTTTATGTTCTTGAGAACTTTGGACCCAACTCCATGAAATGTGAAAAGGTTATGCCTAATTTTGCACTGAATTGGCTGCCTGTTTTGGGAAACACGGGGCGTTTGAGGGACGTCAGACCATCCCCTAAATGCAGCCCACTGGTTTCCCCTGATGTCTCTAGCCGGTCTCTTGATACCTTTCTTGACTTTCACTTCCAGAGGGCTCCTGGCTTCTCCACTTGGGGTTAGATCTGGCCAGCGACTCTCTCCCACAAGCCCTCCGCATTTTTTTTGTAGAGGCGAGGTTTTTGAGTAGGGAAGACCGTCTTATTGGGGAATGGATGCTCTCTCAGGTAAAGCAGGGTAGCTCTGATGTGTGACACAAAATGGGGTGGCTCGGCCAGAGGCGATGTGGAGAGATTCTGCAAAGATACCAAAAAGAATATTTCAGAAAACCGGTGACCGGTGAGAATCCTTGGTGCTCTCTGAGCTCGGCTTGTTTTCTTGAAAATGTTTCATTACCCATCAACACCGACAGGGCAGGCCACTAGCATATAAACAAAAAACAAACCCCACTCCCTTCTAGCACTGATGATGTTACCTAGTTGGGTCATGAAATGTCTGCAAGAAAACAAGTTCAGAGAACTCCAAGGACCCCTCAGTGCTTCTCCTCTTTCTCCTCTTCCTTTTTCTCTTCCTCCTCCTCCTCCTCCCACCTCCTCCTCTCCACAAGTCCCTCTCCCTTTTAGCACTGGTGATGTTACCTAGTTGGGTCATGAAACGTCTGTGAGAAAACCACCAAACTCAAGAGAGTATCAAGGACCGCACAGTTCAACCCCAAGCCACAAGATTCTCTTCTGTGGACTTGTGAAATTCTTAGGATATTGTTTTCATAAGCTTATCAAAAGATTTTCCTCCTACACACAAGTCAATAGACGCAGTGATCAAACCACCACAAGGAAATCCAATCTCAAACCCCCACTGACACAAAGAAATCCTTGAGCTAACACAAAGGCCATGCACAAAGGGTCTTCTTTAGTTTGTGGTTTAGATCAGGGGTCTCCAACCTTGGCAACTTTAAGACTTGTGGACTTCAACTTCCAGAATTCCTCCGCTTTGCCGGCGGAGGAATTCTGGGAGTTGAAGTCCACAAGTCTTAAAGTTGCCAAGGTTGGAGACTCCCTGGTTTAGACAGAATGCTCAGAACTGCCACCAGTTCCATAAACCAAGGTTGAATAAACCCCCAACTGAACGCTCAACTGGCATTCAGACATTCCACATTTTGCTTCTCCATTGCTTGCTGGCTTAAGTTACAACCTCCTGGGAATACACATTGTGGTAAGCTGTGGTTTACAAACCGCGATGGTTGGAGATCCAGAAAACAATAAACAAAAACGAAAGAGATCATATTGTGGCTTCACGTAATGCATGGACTCGACAACCTTTCAGCCGAGCTTTCTCCAACTGGGGTCCCCGCTGTCCTTGACAAAACCCCAGCTACCTGTAAGATGCTCTGGTTGCTCTGCTCCAACCAGAAATCCACGTGTGGGAAAGGCATCCAGTAGTAAGGCCCAATGCAAAGCTGTTCTTTCTTGGAGTCATAAATGCTGATCATCTACCAAAGAGACAGGACAGTTTCAACAGGTTATGGCAGACGAAACGGGAGCAAGCACAGAACAAACCTTGGTTATTCAAGCAGAACTAGAAGCCAGAAGTGTTAATCCTGGCTCCATTACAATGCCAAATCCTGTTTACGTCTTTCTCTGATTCTCATTTATGTTCATTTATGTTTCCTGCTCCAACTCTCCCATCAGTTTTCTCTCAGGAAAAAAACAACATACCAACAATGGCAGAGCAAGTTACTATCTATCTCTATCTATCTCTCACCTCTCATCCCTTCCTCCTTCCATCGTTTTTCTACCATCTATCTATTATCTATTTATCATCTTTCTATCATAACTATATCATTTATCCATCTAACTTCCTATTTATCAATCATCTTTCTATATCATCTATCCATTTATCTTCCTATTTATCTATCATCTATCTTCCTATCATCTATATCATCTATCCATCTACCTATCATCCATCCATCCATCCATTTTTCTATTTTTCTATCCTATCATCTCTCCCTCCCTCCATCTATATTTTTCTACCATCTATTATCTTTATATCATATCTATATCATCTATCCATCTACCTTCCTATTATTTATCTATCATCTATCTTCCTATTATCTATCTTCCTGTCATCTATCCATCCATCCATTTTTCTCTTATCCATTTTTCTTTCTATCTATCTCTATCTATCTATCTATCTATCTATCTATCTATCTAT